TATACAACCCCCCCCCCCCCCCCCCTCCTTTCAACAACGATATCGGCGCAGCCCCCTAGAGGCGCCCGCGACTCGTCACCGTTCCAGCGCACACTGAGCCTCAGCCCCAGCAACAGCCTCTCGCCGATCAAGACAGGCGGGGGCGGGGGCGGGGGCGGCGGCGGCGGCGGCGGCGGCGGCGGCGGTGGCGGCGCCACCGGTGGCAGCAGCCGCTCCCCACTGCGTTGGGGGGCCATGCAGAGCGGAAACCCGGACGACACCCCCCCTCCCGGGGCCGGGCTGCTAGCGTCGTCGTCCCCCTCGATGTCGGCGGAAACTCCACCCGCGCCGCCGCTGTCGTCGCCGCCGAAGCCATCTTCCGGGTTTCTTTACCGCAAGCGCCGGGGATCGATCTCTGGCGGGGTGGGGCCGGGCATGGCGGCGGCGGCGGCGGCGGCGACGAGAGGAGGCGCTTTCGGCGAGGCGCAACAGCGACGGCGGGCCTCGGTCTCGTCGTTGGAAGACATGGCGGGAGCGGCGGCAAGGAGCTTTAGGCTGAAGAGCCCGCGCGGTGGCGGCGGCGGCGGTGGTGGTGGCAGCCGTCGCGGTGGCCGACTTGGACAAAGCTTGGTGGGCGGGAGCAAGGAACAGGAAGGAGAAGGTGGGGGGGTCGAAGGCAGCGGCGGGGGGGGGAGACAGCCGGCGATGCCTCTTACAAGAACCACCAGCCGTGACAGGGGCGAGGATTGCAGAGATAGGGGTAGTGGCGGAGGTGCTGGCAGCAGCAGCGTATCGCTGGCGGCAAAGGGGGGGGGCGACTCAAGGGGTGCCAGATGTGGCGGTGACTACGACAACGCTATCCATGGGGGCCGGGGNGGGGGGGAGGGGCGGGGGGACGACAGCCAACGGGGGGCGGCTGGGGGGAGCGAGGCTGCTGTGTCGTGCGGTGGTGGTGATGGCACGGGCGGTTCAGTGGGGGGTCAGACAGATAAGCTGGAGGAGGGGAAGAAGGTTCTGGAAAGCGTGAGCGTGAGCGTGAGCGTTAATGCCTCCAGGTGCGCGTCCGTCGTGGCAGAGCACGCGGTGATACCGAACAGCTTGGAACCCTCCCGCCCCCCTCTTTACATGCTATGCTCTCCACTCGTACACCGCTGGAGTACATCGTTCAGCGTATCGATCGGGATCAAACACGACCATTAAATTTGGCGATGTGTGCGTGCGTCCATTGTCATCGCGTGAGAGGTTCAGTAGTACTTGCGTTCATGGATGCCGGTCGCCCCGGGAGTCTTGTTGGTATCCTTGAATACCTTCCAAGTAGCCAGGGTTAGGGGTTGTAATCCCGGCGTAAGCGAGTTTTCTTGCAAAGTGAGTTTTTCTCTCGCTTCCGTTCCTGGCCTGGATGGAAAGCGCTAGTTCGTGTGTACACAGAGAGAAGAGAGTGCCGCATTATTCTCGCATTATTAATCGAAGGCAAGGTACCGCAGGAAGAATGGGTAGGGGGGCTCAGGGAGAATAACCCTTCTGTGTGACCACGGGCTGGAGAAATCGGCACAACAACATTGCTGTGAGCGCTGATTTGAGGTGAAGACCGAAAAAAAAAAAAACTGGACGAAATGCAGAAAGAAGCCTGCTCTCCGACGTGTA